AGGTGATTAATCAGAGGTTCAGGCCGTGACTCAGCAGTTCCCATACAAAGCTTTAATACTTTAGAAAATACAGAAGCTGAAAGCGTAACTTTGCACACAGAATTCTTTCTTTCACAGCAACAGGACAATTTCATTTTTATTTACTGGCATGACTCCTTTAACTTACACAGAATTAGTTACTCTTGATTAGTACTGGTATGCAGAAGAGCCTGGAAACTGGCCCAGTATTTACAAGAGATAAAATGCCTTTTCTGAGAGTTTGATGGTAACAAGAGATTGATTAACATTATGATTTTGCTAATTATAAAAAACAAGTTGAAAGGAGTGCATATGTGTTTTTATACAGAGCTATATACATATACATACTGTTCCCTGGACAGAATTGGAGGCAAGATTAAGGAAGGCAAAAGATACATAGCACTGGTAAAGGAGTACAGATCTCTATGAGACCAGTGTCATGATGTATGACTGCACGGAACACAAAATGTTAATTTATCCACTGGAAGGAAAATGTGAAGTAAGACTTCTTCAAGCAGTGTAGGTGGAAAGTATTTACCCTCAGCATTTGCACAAGTCCCTGGTAATTGTCTGAAGCTAGACACCATCATGAAGATGTTGAACTGAGGGGAAGGCTAGCAACTCTGTCTTTAAGAACCATGTTGTTATGAAATCATACAGAACACACAAGGTTGTATACAGCTAATATAATTTTATACAACGAGGGAAGAAAACTCTTAAATAAATATTTTTTTAGATAATAACGTAAGTGAGCTGAGTGAATGTTCTTCGTGTTCAATTGCTGACATGAATTTCCTGAGCAAAACCAACCCAAACATTAAAAGTGAAAACGCCATGGAAACATGCAAAGATACTATAATAGAAAAAGCCTCACATATGGAGAGATACAAAAGGAAATATGTTCTGATTTCATTTTCAGAATGGACAGTATGATGCATATCTCCTAATCGCATTAAGTGAAGTAATCTCTTCAGTAATCTCTTCAGTAAGGAAGTTTCCATTCAAAATTTAGTGTAGTCTTTGATATTACTTGTAAATTAAGAGACATTTAAGCTACCATGCTAGAAGACTCTATAGTGCAGTATGCAAATAAGATTCATAAGCAGAAAGATGACAATTTCAGTGTAAGGCACAGGCATTGCTGCTCTGCTTTTGGGACACCTCTGGAGCAGAAATTTTTCCAGTGGCTCCACCACTCAAGAAAGGTAGTCAACTGCAAAGAATACTGGGTGCCTCATAAAGTTCACACTGCCTGGTTAGCAAGCTAAGCAGTGCCATCCTAGGCCAAAGAATAGGCAGAAAGCTTCCTATACAAACATCCTTGCTCACTTATCATGCAACCTATATAAGACAGCAAAAATCAACTCCATGGAGTTCTTCAGTTGCTGCTTATAATGCAGATAATTCACCAGAATTCACAAAAAAAAAAAAAAAAAAAAAAAAAGGCATATATGCCTTCGCAGATCCGAATCTATCACAACAGTAAGAAAATATTTTCTGAAAAAAAACCACATAATTTGAATACATCTTAAGGTGTTTTGTTTCTCATTTACTGCACACCAATTTATAGTTCTCTAGAAAGTAAATAAATTCATAAACAGATAACAGAAATGTATTGAGAGCTACTAAGCAGCCTTAACAGTCTTGATTTCAGGTATAAGGCCTCCCCAGATGATTTAATAAAGCGCTAACTGAACAAGGTTTTTTATTCTCTGAATGACAGCTCCATTTCTTTTAGTACAGTGGAAATCGGTTCCTGCAAGAGTCTGAGAAGTGCTGAAGGCAACAAGAGTAAGAAATCAGAAAGGCTACTGATGAAAGAAATAGAGGAGATTTGAGCATGCTGATTCTCAAAAGAACAGCTATATTTTTGCTATGTTTTACCTACAAACTCAGTAGATGGGAAATTACGAAACTACTTGCTAGTCATTCTGAAGCTTACAGCATACACTCAAGTAGACAGTGTTCAGTTTTCACACAAATCAAAGTTATTTTCAATTCTTTAGCATACTCCTATCTTCCTTACTTGTGATTTCAGAGCTGACTGTAGAAACAAGTAAGGCATATCCTCAGAGAGACAGTTCTAAGCAAAATTGTACAACACTTTTATTTTGGAGAGCCTGTTTAGTACCTTACAACTACAGTTATGCAACATCAGTTTATCTAAAATACTTAAAGCAGCTGTTCTACAACAAACTGAATTTTCTATTTATTTTCTTGATTAAAACATAGTATTAAAATCAAGGTCTTTCTTCCAGAAATGACTGAACATCAAAATGTATGAGTACTTTGTCCTTTCTCTTGCACCCTTCCAATTAAAGCAAATTTTCTCTTCTTTCTCTTCGTATTAAGATGTAGAGTCATAATCAAAATTGCTTATTTAAAAATAATACATTTTATATACAAAGTGAAATGCAAGTCTCCAGAAAGAACAGAGAACAAATATTTTGAATTTACCTTTGGTATGCCTGAAGTATCAAGCCAATTCTGGGAGATACTTTCAACAGTTAACTCAGACCTTAAAAAAAAAAAAAAAAAAGTTAGAGAATACACACAAAAATAGACGTTTTTCACATTAAATGTAACAATGAAGTAGCTAAGCAAAACCCAGAATTCCCGGTACTGGATGTAATACAGTAGTAGTACATTATGGATTTTTTAATGAATAATACCATCAGAGGTGATATGAGCAAACTAAAGACAGATCAGATTTTTTGCATGTTTAAACAAAGGATAAATGGCTATAGACAGAGAATATTTAAGATGGCAAACTGCAGTTACAAAACATAAATTATGAATATGTGCTCCCATTTTTCTTTCTTCTACTGAGAAAAAAAAAACAAACAAACCCAAAAACATGGGATAAGTAAGTTTAGCTGGAGACACTCAAAACCAGTTGTTACAGAAGCAGTCTATCAGTAAATATAAAGTACTAAAGAAGATTAAATAAAATAACAACTTCCATTATCTTATGGATTTTAAAGGCACCAATAGATTTTAATCCTCAGAGTTACTGAGTAGTTAAATATACTTTAGTTTAAGTTTAATCTCTCCTACATTTTCTTGATATGCTGATAACACTCAAATGTGAAGTCTGGAATAGTCTGGAGCTTCAACTAATACAAAAGAAAATAGCTTGTTTTGAGCAAGCAATTTGGGACTAAAATAACCACAGGCAAAATTATTTGTACGTTCAGAAATAATATTTCCACTTTTGCTTCTGCAAGTAGCTTGTGCTGAATTTACTTCAACATAGGCTGAAAACTTCCCAACTTACAGGGAAGCAAATTAAATTAAAAAAATTACACTATTCATGCAGTATGCCAATGCTGAAAAATAACACTGAAATAAGCTGTCTATAAATTCTGAGAATAACATGCACAGTCCTGTGCACTGAAATACCTTGGCAAGACTCATTCTAGTATCTGCAGCTACCCTCAAGTGAAGATCCATAACCCACAAAGTACCCAGAAAAGAACCTCCATTCTGAAGTTCTAAAGCAGGAAGGTAAACTTCTCAGCACTGGTTTTAATTTAACTACATGACAAAGAATTCTATTGGTTTTTATTTTCCCCAACTCTGACGAAGTTCTGCTTAAAATTCTGACCCCACAGAAAGTTTATTTATGGACTGTATCCATGACTATGAAAGAATTTGCAATGAATTCATCAATCGTTTTTACTGAATGATTTTAGAACACATTTGAATATTAACTTTTGCTAACAATCTGCCACCGCTTGGTGACAGATCAATCACAGTTATGTCTGACATGCAACTAGGAAAATTAATGCTAGAGAGCTTATGAAGTCTTGAAAGCAGTCAATCATTATGATGAAACACTCAACAAAATCATAGAATAAAAATTTGTGTGTTTACTGCTCTTAGTAATTATTATAATTATTTTTAATCTTGTCTAATTTACTTTGGACTGACCGAAGATTTAAATTATTGATGGTTAGGATGATTAGCATGGTTAGCAGCAGCACTTTTCCAGACATGGGTTGTATCTTGACTTAGATATTCTTAATTTCCCTGAATTCAAGATGAAAAGTTTCCCCTCCATCTCTCAACAGAACTGTACGTTATATTCCTTTAAGGTAAACTAATAGTTACAATCTCTACTCCACACCATCATGTTGTCAGATCTACCATGTCTACTCCCACTTAGCAATATTCTGAAGGAAGTATCATTAACAGCAGGCCCGCTTAATAGAATAAAATTCTGTCAATTTGAATTAGAGGCAGGAGTATCTGATTAAAATAGAGTCAGCTGTCTACTCATTGAGTAATTGTTCAGCGGTACCTGCAAAAAATAAGCAGTCTGATCACAATAAGCTTGTCCAAAATACACAGGAATTTTGTAACAAAGGCAAAAATGAATCACCAGGTACCTTAAATGTAAAAAAGCCTGTGCTTACAAGTGCTGCCCCGTGTCTTTCAGCTACTAAGATATACTTGCATACACAGGACAAAGCATCATACTAAATATTGTAAGAAGCTGCAAATTAAAAAGGAAAGGGTCATTCTATTCATAGTGACAATGCCACTTATATGTGTTTACAGTCTCTATTCTTTTAACAGTTTTCTTCATTTTTTGATCAGTCATATATTATGTTGCTGACTAAGGAGGTTTAATTTGGAAACATAACCAGTCTATTTAGTGATAGGAGTATATTTCAACAGCTCATGCAATTTAGGTCCCAACCTTTCTCTAAGGCTCTTTACAAGTGAGAAATGACATTATAAGTCTGGCTGAAGTGACTTAAAAAGTTCCACAAAAAAGAGTAATTCCCTAAAAGAAAAAGAAATCTCCCTAATTAATAAATCTGAGAAGTCAAAAATATATCCTGTAACACTAGGAAATAGTAGACTGTCATGGTCTGAAAAAATATATATATATATATATAAAAATTTTCTCATACCATGTGATCCAACCACAGCATTCAAGGAAAAGCATTTTTACATCGGTGAGGATTATGAATTTTCAGGAAATTACCTTTCTATATGTCTGATCACTACAGAAGTTGATTTTACATAGGTAACTGAACAGAGATGTCATGCTTGTAATGGGATGGTCTTCTACATTCAAGTGAATTATATCTAGATTTGGTCCACTTTTAATACTACCTTGTTTTTTATGCAAATTTGGAACATTTAAATGCTAGGTCCTTCAGGCATTATTACATTTATCTCCATGCAGTATTCTAAAAATTGGTGTCTAATTAATCTAGTCAGTTGAATTCCTTCCAAAGAGAAGGGGAGGAAAAAAAAGATAAGTCCAAACAGTCAGTACACTTTCCCTGGGATAAGACAACTTTTTTTTTTCTTGAGAGCATCTTACTGCAGTGTTACTGCAAAAAGCACACATAGGACAAGCTTAAAATGAGACACCAAAATTTTGTATAGTCAAAGGTAGATCAGGTGAATCATTTAATTTATTCTTTCTCAAGCAGCATAATCAGAAGAACACTTTTTCACTTTTTCTCTCATGAAACCAGCACAGCTTTATGTTCCAAAGCTGTACAAGAGCTAGCAGCTAGGTAAAAATGCTTTTACATACACGCTTAATTTGTTTTACCTAGGGATAAGAAACACGGCTTCACATTGCCAGTTTCTCCACCTCTTTTTAACAGCCTAGGCAAAACTTAAAATGCAAGATTTTCTCAGAAAAAAAATTATCTAGGTTGAGTGAATACACTGTATTTGCTATGTAGTGACTTTATTTACTATACCCTGTTGGTTTTTTTTTGAGCCTGTGACAGATGATGGTGACAGCATATTTAAGAAAGGAAAGATATGCAACAGCAGCTGGAAACAATGAGTGAAAAAATGTAAGCAATAATATTGCATCTCCCGAGATCAGTGCAGGGCAGGAGGAGCTCCAGGTGCAGAACAAAAGCTCCCTTCAGCCCAGGAGAGGCCCATGGAGGAGCAGGCTGCCCCCTTGTAGCCCATGGGCACCAACGCAAGGCAGACCTCTACATTCAGCCATGGAGGAGCCCATGTTGCAGCAGTGGGTAAGACCTGAATGAGATACAGCCCATGGAGAGCCCTCAGTAGGAGCTGTGCTCCAGGCTGGAGCTGCAGCCCTGGAGAGCAACCCTCAAAGGGGCAGGGGGGCTAGGGGAGCTGCTGCCCATGGGGACAGTGGTGGAGCAGTGCCTGGAGTGTGGGCCTCACGGTACGGAGTTGTGTTGGATCAGTGTTGGGAGAGCTGCCACCTGAGGCAAACCCACCTAGTATCAGTTTGGCAAGAACCTCTTGTGAGAGGGGTCCATGCAGAGTAGCAGCAGAGTGACCATGAAGGAGCAAGAGAGAAAAAGTGTTATGGACTGACTGCAGCTCCCATTCTCTGATTCTCTGCAACCCTTGGAGGGAGGAGGTAGAAGATAGAAGACAGACTAGGCGGCAAGTTTTTAGATTGCTTTTAGTTTATACTGCTTTGACCTGTTATGAACTGGCAGTTATCTTCCTATTTTGAAATGTTTTGCCCATGATGGTAATTGTTTAGCAATCTTCTTATCCTTATCTCAACCCCTAAAATCTTTTCCCCTTCTGCCTTTGAGGAGTGGGAGTGAAACCTATCAGGATGAAAGCACTACACCAATTTAGAACATTCTTGATAGCATTTATCAAAAATATCAACTTTCTGTACATATTACTTTTTTATTTTTCTTCAAATGTTTTAGTGTTATGGAGACTATTGCGAAGATCTGCTCTGAATGAGTTGAGAGTCAATACTTAACTGAGAAGTCCTTGGAAAGGTTTCTACCAACTTCCAGCCAAACCCAAAAGATACATCATAGACTCATAGAATTGCTTAGATTGGAAAGGAGCTCAAAGATCATCTAGTTCCAATCTCCTGCCATGAGCAGGGACGCCACTTTCCTCTAGATCATAAACAAATTACTGTTTCAAAACCCACAAAGAAAGGACTCAGAGCCAAGTATTTCTAGAGGCTGCAATTCAGTAAAGCACCCATTTTCAGAAAGGGCACTTACCATCTACGTATGTTGCATTTCAGCATCTGTAGGACTTAAATCTGTATGTCTGATTTTCTGAATTGCCTTCTGTTTTAGATAGTGTACCGGGCTAAGGGAATCTGAGCTTATAAAATAGTATGGCAATTGCTTTGCACCACTGTTCCCTGCTATAAGAACACTAGTGCCTCCTTTATCTTATCCCTTGTCAATTGTTTAGATTAGCTGATCAGATGATGAATGATCTAAAATATATACGTATAGTATATATATGGCCAGATGCAATGTTTCAGAAAAAGCTCTGTAAAATACTTGCACTGATGATAATTTCAAAGTTAAAGTTATAAAAACTGTCTACATAGCAAGCTTTCATTGCACTGGGCCCCAAGGCACTTTGGAAACTTTAAACATAAACCCACTTAATTCCTCAATCAAGAAAGAGAATCCACATTAAGAAAAAAAAATTTTGTTCAAATAAACAGAGAACATGAAAGAACATAACTTTTTTGTAGGCTGAGAGGGAGGTAAAGGAAGGCAAAAAGTCAACATATCCAGCTGAAAATACTTCAATAAGCATATTCACTTCATCTGGATATATGCATTCGTTCACATAAATTATTTTCAAAGTAAGACATTCCAGCTAGATGATGAAGCAAAGAGTAGTGACCAATTGGTGGCTGTCAAGAACCTAATAGCTTCCTACAGATAAGTTTTTTTTCCTTTTAAAAAATATTTTTTTTCTTTTGAAGTGGAATCACAAATACTGGGAAAAAAGGTTGGGAGCCTTCCAACTGTTCATCAAAATCAACATATTCATGGTAAGTAGCCTTCAGTGTGAGTATCCAAGAATATATATATAGCATGAAAGAAAGAGACATGTACCTACGTAGACAAGTGTTTTGAAATTACAGCATTATTTTAGCATTGATTTCTTAATAAACTGAAAGTCTATGTAGATGTCCAAAGAATGTGGTTAGTAGGTCCGAGTTATTAGCAATATGAATAGCAGAAATATAACACAATACGTTCTTTGACTATTCTGCATTATTAGAACAATAGATTTATTAATCCTCTTATTTGATTGAATCATTGAATCAAATAAAAAAATCACCACAGAACTAGCACAAAAAAGATCTGCACTCATAAAGAGCACAAACAGCTGCCACTCTGATTTATCTGAGGTTGACAAATCTCACTCTGTACTACAGGACCTTAAAAACGCTGAGTTTCTGCATGGTTTACACGCTGGGCAGATGTGAAAAGGATCAGTTTACATTAAGGAATATAGATTTAAGCCTTAAGAAGAGCAGAATCACAGAAAGTTTTGATCAAAAGTTAGTGGACCACTATACAAAGACATGTAAGAGTAGTTTTGTTGTTGCTTGGCTTGTTTCTTTAAAAAAAAAAAAAAAACTGCAATGAAGTCTCAAATTCCTCAAATACGAGAAAATAAGATATCCCAGTTACAAATGAGTAGTATTACAGATTTCTTAGTAGTTACAAGTCAATATAGAGCTACAGCCAGAGCATATAATATTTTAAAAGGCTTTGAAACAGTAACAGATAATGTCAATAGGCAAGTCTCCTTCTTGTCATTAGCCCCTTACAGAGAGAAATCGACCTTAGGTGAAAACTAGTTGATTCTAGGCCTGTTGGTCAGAACCCAGCTGCAGTACAGAAACAGAAGGATCTGTCTCTGAGAATGGATTCCTGTAGCTAGCAAAACTGAGTCAGAGTAGGAAGGAAGTAGCTAGGTATGTAGTCCTCCTACTCTATGTATGGAAGACAGCAAAATCAGGGACTGCATCTCCAGATGTCTGTATTTTGGAGCTGTTCATCATTGGGAATGTACTAAAAAAAGCTCTTGTAACTAAAACCTGGTGTACTTATGTTTGGCAAAAGAGAAAAACTTACAGTCTGCTGCATCAAAAAGCAGAACAGTAATGTACCATTACTCCATTACTACCACTACTACTACTACCAAGTAATAATTACAGAAAATTTCCACACTTTAGTGCAATTGCTTTCTGCCAGTTCTAATGCTACTCTCATTATGGAAGTCTCCCAATGAGCCAAACTCTTCTCTTAGCAACACTAAGTGTGCCTCTTTTGCCATAGCTGACTTAGGCCTTGGCTTCATTCCATACTAGTAATTTATTTCAAGGCAATATTAGAATGCTTAATATTTTTCAAGGAAGAAGTGTTTAGGTTTAATGTTAAAATTTTACTTGGTAGAATTGCATAAGAATGAGCGATTTTGTGTGCTACAAAGAATTCAAATTGTTGCTCTGCACTTCGTGTGTACTCTATTTCTGTGGTTGAACCTTTGTGCAAAAAAAATCCACTTATCAACAGATAGTGTTGATAACAGATACTCTGTTTTTACCTTTTCGCCCTTCACTTTTCCTTCAGGCTATTTTTGTTTACTACCAACAGCATGCATTCAACAATGAAAAAAAAAATCTTTGTAGCAGACAAGAAATAAATGCCTCCTCTCTATTCACGTGTTCTGTTACTCCAGGCACTGCTGTTGATATCTACATTCAGGGTGATTTTGAGAGTACATAAGTTCAGATAAACTATATGTCTGGCTGTAAAATTAATTTCCATAGATCTGAATTTTTGTATGTATTATTCTGGAGAGTGATGCAAAACAAATACTTCCATACTTCCTTTGCATTGGTCTTACTAAATGTTTACATGTATTTTGGCTGAAAATTGGCTGCTTATTCAAATAACACTTTACATTGGGCAATGGAAAAACATGTGAGAAAAGGAAAGTGAAGTTTCTTTTAGCAAATCAAAGTATAATCAAATCACTAGATAATTCACTTCCTCATATTCTGTATATTCTCCACTTAATATTCCTGATTTCTGTGGTGCTGGGAATCCCTATCCAATGATACAAACAACACAGCATTCCAAGGTAAATCTTTGGAAACCGTAACACCACTCATGGTGGCACAAACCAATATCTCAATTATAAGTATCTTCCCTGTCTCTCACTTCCTAGAACAGAAGCCTTTCACTAAAAATCTCTGAGCATTTCGCTTTATAGTTCCCTTTTTTTTTTTTTTTTTTTTTTTCAGGAAAAATCTAAACTCGATAAAGACTTTCAGAATCATGCTCCCAAAAAATGTGTTTTTTCCAGTAAATGTGCTATTTTTTAAAATATGCCAGAGTTCACTACAGAAGAATCTGTATTTGTAGTACAGTCCACAGTAATACAGAACTAACCAACAAATAAGCAGTGACAGATCTAAGTTTCTGTTAAAGACATGCTGTGTCATGTTCAGCCAGTCACACAGAGGATTTCGAAGGACATGAGAGATGCTTAACACTGGATTTCTGTAAGTGTTTTTCATCTTTCCCTCATTTGGCACACTTTGTGACAAGGAGAGGATACTACCATAGTACTGCTTGCATAAAAACCTTCTCTGTTCTCCTAGATCCAGGGCAAAGCTCTTCTTCTTGCTCTCAGGCTTCATGCGCCAAAAGCAGCACAGGCAGGAGGATCACAGATTAAGCTGAGCAGCTGTGCCTGGCACTTCAGGTCACACAGTGAACACAAAACCTTTTTTTTGGTTGCCTTAACATTAGAGACACAGCTTGAGGAGGAGCATGGAATAGCAATATCACAGGTCTTATATTTTTGCTTCTACGTGTGAATGAGAATTTATAGAGATAGATGCATATGCTTGAATGCAACATACAGAAAACAATAAGTGAAATACTATTTCTGGCTAGCATTGCTGAAAATTAAATCTGACTCCACTATTAGAATTCTATGACTTTACTAGCCTCGTTCTCACTTACTCTTTTTGTTCAGGTATGTCTTCCAGCAGCGTAGAAAGAAAATCCTGGAAAACAAACAAAACACCACAAATAGTGTGTTTATGAAGAGGTAACTATGTGTCTGCATTGCTAAAAAGCAAGAGATTTTTAAAGACTGCATATAATAAACGATAAGAACAAAGTTTACATATCTGCCCTGGTGCTATACTGCTCAATTATTTATACAACAAGCATTATGTTTGTCAGTTTTTCAACCCATTCAAGGAAAAAGTGTCGATATTGAAAGAAAATGGACTTGAAAAGCTTGTTGACTATTTCAACATAACCCTTTTTAATTTCTCTATAAGAATACACAAACTGTAGCTGTTAAAAGCTGGAGATTCATATACTCAGAGGGTCATAAACATCAGAGTCAGGGGTATTCTTCACATTCTCTTCATTGTTCTTGTGCTATCACATTATTAATGTGTAATTATTTATGAAAATATCATTAATTATATGAACATATTTTAACGTTGGCTTTTTTTTTTTTTTCATTCCTCTACGCACCCATTTGATCAGAAGGCCACACCTACCCTGACAAAATTCTCAGTCTTGCTGTGAATCACACCATGGAGTAAATTCTTCAAAGAGAAGGAAGACAGAATTTCTTTCATGGATTAAGAAGGAAAGTGCTATGACAGTGGAACAACATTACTATCATCTTCACTTATAACAGTATGATAAGACCTCTTTATAGAAAGTTCCACTTGGCATTACTGAACGGCTCTCTGACACCCCATGCTATCCACAACCTAGCATTATTAAAGACAGTCACTCTTCATCAGTCTAAATACCCACAAAGCATAGGAATCCTTCTTCACACTTGCTAAAAATTTGGACTCGTCTCTTCTGTCTTAATTGTTTGTATTTCAATGCTCCAAAACAGAATAGGAAAACAAAGTACTTCATACCTCATATCTACATGTCTTCATGTCTTTTAACATTTGCTGGTTATTAATTCTGCCTGACATACCACCATCATAGGACTGACTTTTCAGTTGCTTATAATTTTACCAAACATTAAATATCAGGAGTGACTTTTCAACCTCAGGCTATTTTTGCCTTCCTTTCCAAGTAAAATGGTTCAGAACAGTTAAATGGCAAATCTGGGAGATTAAGATTTAATGCCATTTTTTTAAGAGACTCTAGTGACCTTAAACTTTGAAGCAAAGACTTGTGGATGGATGGCTGAGTCAAATCACAAAACAAAATACAACTTGCATTTTTTTCTGACAAGAAATTCAATGAAGTCAGAAAGAAAACACAAGTTAGCAATCATGTCACCACAGTGCATTATTGTTAACAAATTGGCTTATTAATATATATTTTAAATCATATTGCATTATTTTATAATTTTGAATGATCTGTTATTATTAATAATATTATTAGTAGTAGTACTAAATAATCTCAATTCCCTATGTACTCCTATTGCTCCTCTGTGGCTGGAAACTCAGAGGCTAAAAAACAGCTTTTCCTTATAGACAGAAAATGTTACTCTGAAGTTTGTGAAATGAATAATGAATATTAAAGGAAAAAAATCTTTTTTATCAAAAACTCAAATCTAGATATTATTAGTGATATTATACCTCATGATAAAAAAATAATTTCAGTTCAACTCTCTAATTAAATATACATAAATAAAGTTGTATAAAAGCAGTAACTCAAGATGGTATATCTAAAGGGATGTTCAGTTGGTAACAAATGCATTTTTGCTCCAGATGCATTTACATCTAATTCTTTATAGAAACTACTGACTCAAACTACCTCAATCAATTATACAATTTTAAAATTACTTTAAAAATTGGCAAACATTATTTTGTCCCTTTTGGGGGTGAAAATAAATAATAAGCACCCTTCTTAGGATGCAGGTGGAAGACTGGATGCCTGAAAAGCCAACTGTGTGGGAGGTGGCAAAAGAAGGATGGCCAGCATGGCAAGGAAGGTGATTGTCTCCCTCTGCTCTACTCCTGTGAGGCTCCACATGGAGTGCTGCAACAAGGCCTTGGGCCCCAAGTACAATGAAGACATGGAACTAGTAGAGCTGGCCTGATGATCAGAGGGCTAGAACACTTCTCCTATGAAGAAAAGTTGAGGGTGCTGGGCTTATTTAGCTTGGGGAAGGCTCTGGGAGACCTCACTGTGGCGTTCCAATACTTAGAGGGAGCTTATAAACAGAAAGCAGACTGACTTTTTACACAGGCAGATAGTGATAGGACAAGTGGAAATGATTTTAAACTAAAAGAGGGGAGATTTACCGGGAGGCTGGTAATAAGCGGTCCACCCCAGGAGACTGTCTTAGGAGTGGTGCTCTTTAACATCTTTATCAATGACATCAATGATGGAATTGAGTGCATCCTCAGCAAGTTTGGTGATGGCACCAAGCTGAGTGGTATGGTTGACACAGTGGAAGAAAGGGATGCCATTTAGACCTCAATAACTTGAAAGGTGGACCTGGGTGAATCTAATGAGGTTCAACACAGCAAAGTGCAAAGTTTTGCACTTGGGCCAGACAAACCCCAGGCATCCATACAGACTGGAAGGAGTGGTCCTTGGGAGCAGCCCTGCAGAGAAGGACCTGGGGGTCCTGGTTGATGAAAAACTTAACATGAGCCAGCAGTGCGCTCTAGCAGCTCAAAAAGTAAATAGCATCCTGGGCTCCATCAGAAGAGGGGTGGCCAGCGGGGACAGGGAGGTGATTGTCTCTCCACCATGCCCTTGTGAGGCCCCATCTGGAGTACAGCATCCAGGTCTGGGGCCCCCAGTACAAGAAAGATGCAGCTGTTAGAGAATGTCCAGTGGAGGGGCTCCTGATCAGAGGACTGGAGCACCTCCCCAACAAAGACAGGCTGAGGGAGCTGGGCTTGTTCAGCCCGGAGAACAGAAGGCTGCGGGGTGACCTCAGTGCAGCCTTCCCGTACTTAAATGGAGCCTACAAGCAGGAGGGGAGTCAACTCTTTACAAGGGTACATAATGGCAGGACAAGAGGAAATGGTTTTAAGTTGAGGGAGAGAAGACTTAGGTTGGATATCGAGGGAAGTTCTTTACCAAGACAGTGGTGAGGTGCTGGAACAGGCTGCCCCAAGTAGGCCTTGGATGCCCCGTCCCTGAAGGTGTTCAAGGCCAGGTTGGATGTAGCCCTAGGCAGCGTGGTCTAGTATTAGAGATGGAGGTTGGTGGCCCTGCATGCAGCAGGGGGGGTTGGAGCTTCATGACCCTTCAGGTCCCTTCCAACCCAAGCCATTCTATGATTCTATGATTTAGATTAGATGTCAGAGTGTGTTGAGGTACTGTCACAAGCTGCCCAGAGAAGTTGTGTATGTCCCATTCCTGGAGACCGTCAATGACAGGTTGAATGGGGCCCTTGGCAGCCTGATCTAATGGGCAGCAACCTTGTCCACAGCAGGGTTTTGGAACTCGTATATACGCACAGTTTAAATATAATCAATGAAAAGTCAAAATATCTAAGTTTGTAAAACAATTCTATTTGTTTAAACTTTAACAAATAAAAGAAGTTGAATAGAAAGAAAAGCATATGGTATGGCAAACAGAGTGCCAACCACTGAACAATTAATGGAGAACAAAATACCAAACAGCTGCTTTACATCTGATTAGCACCTATTTTACATAATCTTTGGGAAGATCTTTTGGAAAGATCTTTGGGAAAAAAAATATAAATAAAAGAATTGTGATCATATGATAGTTAAAGATTGTCCCACATTGCATACATGTAAGGAAAGCCAGCAAAGGTTCTTGCTACACAGCTAAAATATTTCAACAAAATAGGTAGGAATATGTTTACAGAATCACAGACTCATAGAATGGTTTGAGTTGGAAGAGACCTTAAAGATTGTTTCAAATACCTCTGCCACTGCGTAGGACATCTTTGTCTAGATCATACTGCCCATAGCCTCACACAAATTGGTCTTGAACAGTTCCAGGCATGGAGCGTGCACAACTTCCCTTTGCAACCTGTTCTAATGTCTCATCATAGTTGTCACAAAGAACGTCTAATCAAACTTTACCCTCTTTCAGCTTAAAGCCCTTGCCCCTTGTCCTATCACTGCATTCCCTGACAAAGAGTCCCCCTCCAGCTTCCTGTACGTTTCTAAGTACAGGAAGACTGCAATGAGGCCTACCTAGAGCTTTCTCTTCTCCAGATGGAACAATCCCAGTTATCAGCTTTTCTAAACAGAATAGGTACTCCAGTCAATTGAAAGAGGAAACTAATTCAATATGAGTAAAAATGGCCCATCTATTTTATTTTACAAGCACACGAGAGTAAAGAAAGCAAAGACCCTTGTCCTATAGGCTGCTGTGGCTGGGACAGTGTCAGAATCCACACCACACTCCATGGATTTCAACAGCTGTTTATTCAAGCTCACAAGTCAAGCATGGAACAGCTGAGGCCAAACTGCAATTATATGAGTTTAAATAAAAATAAGTATTAGGAAAAGATTCTAGATGATGAAACATCAAAATACATACAGACTGCATTTTTAAGCTTCCAATTCTAGATGAAACAGTTCTAAAAACAGACAGTTGAATGACTGTGAATGACTGTGAATGAATGTGCGCACAGACCAACTTTTGGTGTGAAAAAGATAATCACATGCACATACATAAAAAGGTATGCAGGAAGATGTTGATGTAGACATGCACACTAAGCTTGGATTCATACATCTGCCTTTAAAACTTCCAAGTATAGCATAAAATATTATTTTTTGAAGCGCTGTCTTCTTACTTGTCATTTTACATGAGCAAACTGTAGCTCTATCAGATGATTGAACACTACAAACCTTTGTTTATTATTGTAACAGAAGTACATAAAAATGAAAGGCTGCAAACAGTTCAGTTTCCAATGTGTTCTTATTTCAATATCAAACTGAACAACTTTAACTGCATTACAAGTATCAGCAACTTGCACTCCTGGATATTTATTCATAGTCAGTAATACTCTATCCATTATTTAAAAAATTCATTCAATGCAGTATTAAGTGAAAGAAAAATGGAAGACTTTCTTAAAATCCTTCTTGGAGATTCCTGACTTGTCTGTTAACGACTCAACTAAAACAAACAAAAACTACTATTAAAAACATACTAAGCATGCAATCAAAATGAGGGAAAAAAAGCACTGATTAATGTTTCACATCTGAAGTCATTTCCTCGCACCTGCAGCTCTCATCTAAGAAAAGTACTACAAAAACCACTGAAAACAAGACTGGTATTCAGAACGTGGACAATTATTTTCACTACTTTTACTTTACCCCTTCCCCACAGTTCCTAAAGCTGAGAACTTCTACAATTATTTTGGACAAGCTGGAAGTACAACATTATGACATTTAAACTTACCATTCATACCTCAATTTATTTTAAATCTTTTATTCATTTAAACCTGGACAGCACATTTGCTCAGGCAGGATCCTGAATAATAAACTTTATACTAACTTGACTTCATTACTCCTGCATTTTCAGTTCCTGCTGTGATTATTTATCTACCAATACCAACATAAACACAGTCTTTAAGATTTCTTACAGAGAAAGAAAACACATTTACGGTTGGATATAGTCCTATTTGCTTTGCACTTGCTAACATACTGATCAAACAACAGGTTCATGCTAAAATTCAGCCTTGCCCTTAATTTACAACTATACACCTGCCTAAACAGGATTAACTCTTCCCATCAACCCAGTAGGAACTCGATTTACGCTGGTATGAAACAAGGTAAAAGTACAAAAAGCATCGCCTCTTTATACCTGATTCTCAAGCAAAGCCATTTAGGAATGTTCAAGACATCCAGCTCTTGCTAAAAATATTTACTGTATATAACCAGAGTACTTTCATAGTATAGTACACAGTAAATCAAGATCCAACAAATCAAATATCTTCAAATAAGCACCTGTTTTTGATCTACATTAAGCACATAGCTATGTACATACTCAAATAAAATGCAGCCCAAGAAAACTAAAATAAAAGCATCACTTACTCTTGCTGGACTAATTAAAAAACATTAAACAGGTTTTTATCCAATTGCTCAAAACAATGGTTTTTCTGTGCAGAAACAGCATATGAGACTAGAGTAAGATAAGCAATAAACTGATGTTTCATAGCAAAGTGCTGGGCAGAATAAGAAATCTCTAGGTACAATAACTAGTAGCATAATGTGCTAGAACATCTTGCAGCATATGAACACTCTGCAGACACATCTCATCTCATGTCAAGAAGGAAAGTGATCTAGTAGCAACTAGAGCCCTTTTTCTCACCAAAATTCCTGCATCTGACTATAATCAGATTAAAACACTAAGCTACTTCAGGCCTTTAGTACTTTCATGATTTCTGTAATTTTCAGAACATCTTAAGTTGTGTAATACTGGAGCTCACATTTATGATTTTGGACACAATCATAGGGACAAAGCTTGTATAGTCACTGGTGTTTTCCACTCTATGCTAAATAAAACTGCTCAGGGTCTAAGTAACACAGTACAGGAAACAGCTGTAGCGGTGGAAAAATTAGCTGCCTCAGCACCCCAAATATTCCTCTACAGGGCAGAATTGCTGCAGTTGAGCAATTAAACTTAAATATTGTGTGACTTGACATAAAAAAGAATCTGCAGGCCACTGAGTTATTTTTAAAGATACAGAGACAGCTGGCCAGTTCAGAGTGAGAACCAAAATACCAGGCGCACTGAGCAAAGAATCACTGCCCTGGAAGAAAGAGGAATGTGTTGGACTCCGTTCCCTCAAGAGCAGAGACAACATATTCTGTGTTGTAAGGAGAACACATAGATTTATCTATGATTTATCTATGATATCCATGATATTCACTGTCCTGAATCCTCTTTAAGATTTAAACTGTCACACCACAAAACACAGTCTTCCACAAAGAAACTAATTTCAGAAATTCACTCATGCCCCTTCTCTCTTTTCCTGCTCTTCACTCTCATCACATTGCTCTCCTATTTGCCATGTCATGCCTTTTGTTCCAGGACTGTTTTTAACAATGATGACTTCAGTGAACTAGTTCATACACTTCCACAAATAACTATGTTTACAACATTACAGATGCAAAAAGATGCTGTGATTGTTTCATCACTAGTGAAATGTTCCTTAGAACTTTGGGTTTAGAGAGAGATAGAGAGAGTTAGAATCTTTCTGTCTGAAGCCATTCTACTTTTCATGGCATAATTGTATAATATTTATGTCAAGTAGGAAAGAAGCTAAGTCTGTAGTGCAAGTGATTCATATGTGTAGTGGATTTGGAAGGGCAAATTCTGATTCTTAATTCAGTGCTATTTTTCAAAAGCCAAGCCTTCACCAATCCAAGAAGAAATAATTTTCTATGAGAATATCTGCTCTTGGCTGCCACTGCAACAGTGCATCTTAAAATATCCCTTGTGGTTAATACTTCAGCAACAGAAAGAGGCAAGAAATTGTTTTAGACAGCATGAGAGTATGGAGCATGATAAGAAAACCTTTAAAGGTGATGTGATAAGACTGTAATAAATGTGTGTGCAATGTCATACTGTGACAGTGTCACTGACAGTGGGGAGGAGGCAGTTCTCATAAGAAAGACTGAAATGAAAAGAACCAAACAAAGCAACACAATCAGAGGAAGGAATAAAGGAAGAATGTAACACGCATACACTGTTTCTACTTATAGAGTTACATTCCTACTCTGTGTTTCTTCTTTCTCAAGAAAAGAGAGTTATCCAGGAAAATACTGATTACAACTAAAATCCAGAAATTAAAAGAATACAGTACAAGAGACAATTACAGGAGAGTAAATGACCTGTATTTATATTTGAGAACATCAGAACCTATGAACACGATCTTTCCAAGTATCAAGCTGACAGCCTAAAACAAATTTAATCCATTGCTTACATTATTTGATACATACAAGGAATCAGATTCAAGTATCACAGTGAAAAATGGTATTGCCTCCTAACAGTCATATCACCAATACCGCTAAGCTACAATTGCTGTTTATTTTCCACCACAACCAGAAGTAGTCATTTAGATAGCCAAACAGAAAGTTGATGTCTTTTGTGTTTCAAAATGTGAGTAACAATCCTGAACACTGTACCTGAGAAAGAACAAGCTGTCCGTGGAACTTATGGATGAATTTTCGTAAAGATGCAAGGTATGAAGCCTCTCCTAATGTACTTGCCAGAGACCGCAAAAGGAAATAACCCTGCAAGAAATTAAGCAAAAAACAAATAGGATGCTATGAATACACTGATATCTAGAAGAAAGAAATCTTTGTAATAGTAGTAAACCAATCTCAATAAAAATCAGCTTACAAAACTCACCTTCAAATAATGAACTTGCATGAATACTTTTTCTGCTTTAAGACCATGTTTGACAAAAGATGCTCCAGATTCACTCACTTCTCCCGTACTCTCCTTGTGAGGCCTAAAATGGTAAGAGACTAGTGAAGTCTTGGATAAGTAAGAAATAGCTCATGTATTACATCTTCTCATAGTTGAACCACTGTACATGTCCTAGTAACTTAAAAACTTCAGCTGGGATAGAAAAGAAAGCCATTACCAAGTTAGTGCACTATTTTAATGACAGGTTGACATTATGTTACGTGCCATCCTACAATGCACAGACACATTATGAAGAAACAAAACAGAAAACAGACATTTAAAGCAAAAGGGAAGAGAAGGATACTGCGGTCATTATATTCAACTACAGATTCTCTTCTTACACCTGAGTGCTGGCTTAACAGCTTACACAGTTATATTTACAAGAATAAATTCTTTCATTTGCATGTAATACATTGCAGAAAAAAATACTTTTTTGGCTTTCATTTTGGTGTTTGTTGTTGGAAGAAAAATTTCAAAGTTTTAAAAGAGCAAGCCTTACAAACACATGCTGTCAACAGTTTTTGAGCTGGTGTGGCCCAGTTCCATAGCAAAATGGGGCAGAGGAACCCACAGATTCACACTCTGGGAGAGTGGGAAGGGGGAAAAATGAGAAAGAGTAGGGAGATAGACCTAAAAACAAAACAACGGCAATGAGATAAGGGAGGAAACTAATGTACTAAATATAATAGCAGAATCTGAGATAACACAATATAATAAAATATAATTGGAAATTAATTAAAATGGGAGAGAATGTCCAAAACCAAAGGCCTTACTCCACTTGTGAAGGTAACATGGCTGGGAAGCACACACAGAGACAAGCAGTAAAAGGAAAAGGTCATCTCATGACTTCTGAGCAGTTTTATCTTTCCCTCTAAACAGAAAATGGAAACGGAACAGTGAAAGTCCTCTGGGAGATGCAGTTCTTCTTCTCTGAGAACCAGGTACCCAAAACTATCAACAATCCACGGAACTGGGGCCTTAACTCTTTAATCCCCAGTGTACTACATGATGTTGTGATGTGGAATATCAATTAAAACCATGACATGCACGTTTGTGTGTGTAGTGGAAGTGCTAAGTCATGACCTGAAACAATGATCAAGCACCTGGTGGGAAGGCAGGGCCGACCCAGGGGAGCTCAGGTGGAACTGACTGGAAGCGATGGAGTCCACTTCTTCTCAGACGTCATTTAAAAGTTGGCAGTGGAGATGAGGGCATCTCTTGCCAGACATACCCGACTGCTTGAGGCTTCCAAGGGTAAGCAGCTCTTTTCCTTCATTTCTGTATCTGTGCCTGCTGTATTTGAGCTCATGTTCATTTGCTGTAACCAAGGACTTTGCCACCCTGCTATTATCATCTGATTATAGCATTACATGGTTTTCAGACAAATATAGAATAAACTGCCTGATTTTAAAACATAACAGAATCTGGTGTGCATGAAGTTTATGGCAGTGAAGTCTGAAGGGTTTCTAGGCTCTTACAAGCACAAACTAAAACTAAAGAGAAGCTATGAAAACATAGCTTTTCCCATTTCAAAAATACCCCACCAAGCAGTGGTCTGAGAAGAGATGCTTGTCTTAACAGCCTATCCCTGTAACTGAACCAACCTCTTTAAATCTCCTGGTGGATTTTGAATTGCTAGCCTCAGAAACCAAACATACTTTCCCCGGTTCAAGAGAATAAGAGCAACACAGGCCACAGAGTGCAGACTTCTTCAAACCACATACCCTCCCCTCACTTCTCATAAATAGTCCCAATAGTCAAACTTCTTTCAGATCCATATCTGCTTTGAGAAAAATATTCTTTTTTTTTTTTTTTTTTTTTTTTTTTTGTCTCTGCAGTGCTCTCTTATTACAATCTTGCCAATTTTTTATTATTATAACAATTAAGCCATTTTTTCCTCAAGTGCTAGCTTTATAACCTGAACACATCAAATTCATTATACACATTAAAATCTCTGGCAAAAGGTTTAAAATTAAAATAGAAATTGTTTAAAATAGAAAAAGAAAATGATGTTTAAATTTTATGTTGTTTCTAACACACAGTCCTTTACCATGCAGTATTTATATATGGCAAAGGAGATAAGTGATAGTAAGAAAGGCTTTTTTAAGTATGTCAACTGTAAAAGAAAGACTAGGGAAAATGTGGGTCTGTACTAAATGTGAGCACACAGTGTCCACCCTCAGCAAGTTTGCTGATGATACAAGGTTGGCAGGAAGGCTGACACAGCAGAAGGCTGTGCTGCCATTCAGCACGATGCGGACAGACTGGAAAGCTGGGCAGAGGGGAACCAGGTGACGTTTAACAAGAGCAAGTGTAGAGTCTTGCACCTGGGGACAAATAATCGCATGCACCAGTACAGGCTGGGGGACGACCTGCTGGAGAGGAGCTCTGTGCAGAGAGACCTGGAGGGCCTGGTGGACAGCAGGTTGGCCATGAGCCAGCAGTGTGCCCTGGTGGCCAAGAGGGCCAATGGCATCCTGGCGGGCATTAAAGAGTGTGGCCAGCAGGTCGAGGGAGGTGATCCTCCCCCTCTGCACTGCCCTGTTGAGTGCTCACCTGGAGTACTGTGTCCAGAATGGGCTCCCCAGTACAAAAAAGACAGGGATCTCCTGGCAAGAGTCCAGCGGAGGGCCACAAACATGGTGAAGGGCCTGGAGCTCATCTCTTATGAGGAAAGGCTGAGAGACCTTGGTCTGTTCAGCCTTGAGAGAAGAAGACTGAGAGGGGATCTGATCAATGCCTATAAATATCTAAGGTGTGGGAGGCAAAGGTACAAGGCCAGGCTCTTTTCAGTGGTGCGTGGTGACAGAACAAGTGGAAATGATCACCAAGTGAAGCATAGAAAGTTCTGCAGAAATATGTTTAAGAACTTCTTCAGGGTAAACGTGACAGAGCACTGGAACAGACTGCCCAGAGTAATTGTGGAGTCTTCTCTGGAGATGTTTGAGACCCACCCGCATGCCCACCTGTGCAACCTGACCTAGGGAGCCTGCTTTGGCCACGGGCATTGGACTTGATCTCTAGAGATCCCCTCCAACCCCTATAATTCTCTAATTCTGTGATTTTCTAATTTTCTTTCAGGAGAGATCCTCCTTCAATGTTGAAGGATGAATTAAGGACACCTTATTTTATGATAATTTCCATTCTTCAAGACAGTGTAACCATTGGCAATACCTAGGCAATATCTGCAACAGCGTGTAAATGCTCAGAAAGTTACTGTTTTATGCTGTCAGTACTTCAGTACACTTGTGTAAAGCAGTGGTTAGTGCATTTACAGCACAGGGACCAAAGGTTTGTTACACTGACCTACAGAATCTGACATCTAGTCTAGCAGATTAAGCTAGGCACAACAATAAAGGCAAGATGAATCAAGGTATTTAAGCTACTACTTGACAGATTTTTGCTACTGCTACATTTCTGCATGAAGCAAAAGACGCTGCTTTTGCTAGTGAGGATAAAGTAAAAATACCAATCCCTGGGAAATCCGTGGTAATTAAATGGCTTGACGATGATGAAAAGCTACTCAGAGACTATGAGAGAATAGTGAAGGGCACATTTCCTCACAGAGTGATAGAATAAACTCTTTAAATACCTACAGAGCAGGCACAGATCTATGTTTCAGGAGTGAAATGGGTAAGGTCACTGGTATGACTCAAGTGGAACTCAGAAAAACACTCAGATGTCATAACTGCTTTGTCTTCATGAACAATCTCAAGCTGAAGTTCAGTTGTAAGGATCAGGACAGGATACAATCTCAGTACCATTTTTTGTTGTCACTGAATGAAAAAGACATCTCTAGTCTTTATTTTCATACCACGGGGAAGTGGATAACAGAGCAGGCATTGACGCTGGCCAGTAGATGAGTGCCAGGACACTCATATTTTGCTTTTATCCCTTCAGACTTGCTTCAAACTCTGAGAAAATATACAGTTTGGTCCGTAATCATGTCATATATGAGTAATACATTTAATTGACATAAATCCCTTCTTTAATATTAAGATTTGTTGGTGCTGCCTTTTAGAGTTCCTGCTTGCTGAAAAGACTTATCTACTTCTGTCACACCTGGCTTTGTTTTTTGCAGGTAGCATCCAAGAAGTTACTATAACATAATAAAAAATATCCATAATAAGAAGAAACATAATGCTAATGATTGTATCTGAATATATTCATTTCCTGGAACAAAAGTGAATAGGATCAACAGTCAAACTTCACACAGATTTTTCCTGCTGTCTGATGAAAACATAGAAAATCATGTAATTGTCCAGGAGAGAACAAAAACACTCGTGAAAAAGGTTATGTTCAGAAAGCGGGCCTGATGATTTCTGTCTTCCTGACATAATTAGCAAGAAGGGACGGTCACCATTTATTTTCAGTATCCTTGCATAAAAACACGAGCCTGAACCAGCACAACTCAATAGGGACTTAAAACTCAGCTCAGATCAAAGACATGATATTTTCTCTTGAATACCAACACTAGAACACAGACAGACATACTTTCAGGTATATAACCAAATCAGTATATTTGTAAAAAGAGAACATTTTTCAAGTCCACAGTAGAATGACAAAAACATTCATAAAAATAAAAAATTGTAAAAAATATTTATATCTGACTGAGAGCTGTAGAAAGTCCTTAAATGCAACCAAAGGAAACTGGAGCAATCAAAGAGGCAGAAACTGACAGAATCCCAAACTGGCATCATAACTGTCTCCAGAAGTGCATAGTAGAGGCATATTTTTCAAACAAGAAATGATTCTCATCCTTTTGTATTAGCACTGAGAATTCTACTACATGCAATGTAGTAAATGCAAGAAGTTTATTTCAGACACTCATGTCTACTACGTAAATGAGTAGAAAATTTAAGTATCAGTTTCAAGATCATAGACTCATAGAATGGCTTAGGTTGGAAAGAATCCTAAAGGTCATGTAATGGAGCCCACTTGCCATGGGCAAGGCTGCCACCCACTATATTATTTTGCCCATGCAACCTGCTCTTGGATACCACAAGGGATGGGGCATCCACAGCTTTTCTAAACTGTGTTCCAGTGCCTCATCATCCCTGTCATAAAGAATTTCTACCTCATAGCTAATATAAATTCTGATCTAAAGACATTACCTCTTGTCCAGTCACTATACACTCTGATAAAGAGTCCCTCTCTAATAAAGAACCCTTGTAATGTACCAGAAGACTACAATGAGGTCTCCTGGAACCTTCTGTTCTTCAGGCTGAACAAGCACAGCTCCCTCAACTTTTTTCATAGGAAAGGTGCTCCAGCCTTTTGATCACTTTCATGGCCTCCTCCAAAAGCTTCACAACTTTCCTCTTTCCTGTGCTGGATGTCCCTGACCTGGACACAGTAGTTCCATGCAGTAGGGTACAGTCACTTCCCTTGTCCTGCTAGCTACAAGATAAAGAGTTCCAAACTGTAACAGATATTTTGGCCCTTAGAAGAACAATTTTTAAAATTTACAACACATACACATCTTAGTCATATCATTTTATTCAGATTTGGCAGTTACATGCCATAGTCTGCATGTGCCTGTCTTCAGCCATAGAAAATATATTTGTTGCTCCTTCAAATATGAACTTTGTTCAGGAAATGTTTTCCCCACCCCACACCACCCCAGATTTAGGGAAACTCTTGTAAACTGCTTGGAGACATTTTATACCAATCTAAATCCCATTTGGAAAGCTTTCTGTAATAGACTGAAAAGTAATTGCATTATAGAGAAGATGAATAACCTCACCAATTTAAGTTGACTTTTCTTTTTTTCTTTAGAAGGAAATAAGGAAGTGTAGTGGATTTAATCACATGTATATCCTTTGAAAGGAGAAAACAGTAGAAAACAGCAGGGAGAAAGGGAGGGAGGAAGAGAGGGAGAAAAGAATATGAGAAAGCAAATATTACACCATCACAGCTTTACCTTAAAACTTGCAGCTCTTCTTCAGAGTTCTGCACCTCATCTCTGAGTCGTCGCCAGCGAAGTAAAGCTTTCAATTCCTGCTGCTCTTTTTCTTCATCACATGAAAGCTGCTTAGTGGAAAAAATTATTAATTGGTGTTTTCCAGCAGACAACAAAATTTTCCAGAGAGTAACTGATGTTTTCTTTTAATACCCAAGCAATGAAAGATACAGTGCAAACACACGTAAAAAAAAAAAAAAAAATACCAACAAAACAACAGTTATACTCTCTTGTTTAAGAGTTAATAGCAGAACTAAGAAAAACAGAAGCCTCACAGATCAAACTTGGTGTTTTCCCTTTAGTGACTGGCTATAAGATAACTGAATACACAGTACAGATAGCTCACATACTGGTTGCATCTTTACTTTTCTCAGTCTTGAAAGCAAAGAGCTCTTCCATGTCCTGACTTTATCCCTCTTCCTACTATGCCTGTCACCCTGGTGAAAGTTCCCTTGTAATTTTCCACATTAACATAACATCAGGAGATGCATGCTTATGAAATAAATGTTAGGTTGTCAGCACACACATCAATAACTAATCTATGTTTTTTTGTTATAAGAAAAGATGAGATGGGAGAAGGTAAAAGCAGCTAATATTCTCCTACATCACATTAGTATTTCAGTCACAACTGCAATTATTGGTAGACAGTATGGAATACACACATAATCTTAAAATTGTAGTATCACACAGAACCAAAACTACTCAGTTAAAAAAAAAAAAAAAACAATAATAAAAGCAACAATAGATTTTCTGACTGTATAAATTTGTAAATTTAATAAATCAGAAAATTTATACGGTCAGGGAATAAACACCCTGTTTTGTTGCTCATTGCTTTCCAGCAACTACATGGAAAGGTGCCAACTACAATGGAAAAGCTTTCAAACAAAAGTGCAGACTTAAAGAGAGCAGCTCACCATCAGGGAGTGATGCCCAAATGCAAGAATGAATTTTAAGACCAGAAGGGAAAAGCAAAGTGTTGGGATAGCCTTCCCCTCTTCCTCATTCCGGAAGCATTTTAAATGTCAAGGAACTCTAATTCGTTTAGAACTATGAATACTTCTGATACTTAATAAAATGGAGGCTCAGAAGAGCTTGTGATGTCAGATCCCATTCTCACCTTCCCTCCCACAGATGCAGTTCTGAGAATTTTAATGGCAGAATCAGAGCCTAACTGACACAAGCAAAAGAACAGATGATGAACACACAAAATGCTTGAAGTAGGACAAAAATAAGAATTGGATCAGAAAACCTCTTTACTAGCAGACATGCAATATATAAGCTTTTAACTTTAAGATGGGCAATGATATCTAAGCTTCTGACAAGATGTTAACTCTTAACTATGAAATGTAAGAGAAAAAAAAATGTTAACTGCTAGCACTCTGTTTCATCAGCTTCCATTTTGTTCTGAGGCTTGCTGCCACATACAAAATCAAATCATTTTCATTAAGAACCTGCAATATTCAGCAAGACATTGCTGATTATTCCACTTTCAGGAGCATGGCACAAATGGAGAGAATGCATAGCAACTGTTTGATAACTGAGTGGTAATATTTCAGTAAATGTTTCCACTCTTATTTGCACTGATCTTTACCTCTGTAAAGATTAGAGTTATTTATGGGTAGAGCAGGAAAGATTCTTTTTTTCCTATTTTTTTCTTTTTAAATCAAGTTAGCCTGCAAATTCCAGTATTATTTTAAAGAACTTAGCCTCATAACACAAAAGGTTTTATGAATACTTAATTCACAACAAAGTTGCTCCAAAAGTAGTGCCTCCTATTTATTTCCATGGAAACTACAGGAGATACAAAAAGCACAATAACACTATTTAATAGAGCAAATTTTTAGCTATAAAATACTACTGTTCAACACAGGCACCACGATTAGCTATGTATTTTCACCAGCAATGAACAAAAGCCTGAATGTTATGCTCATAAATATCTGCATCAGCAGGGGTCATCCACTGTCACACAGCTGAAATGACAACCCACCACCTCACTCTGCTCAGATCCACTGTTTGGACTCCAGAAACATTAGGCAGGCATTGATAAATGTCTGTGGGTGTCATTTTTTTCAACATGGAGGAATTCAGTGACACACCCTTGCTTCACATGCATTTCCATGTCAGACACCATTTTGTCAGACTGCCCCTCTGCTGCCATCCATCACACGGCAACAAAATGGAACAAAATACTGTTGGGAACATTCAACTCTACTGCCATAGCACCAACATCCAACTCTAACATCATGGGCAAGAAAACAAAATAGGAGGCATTACTTTCAGGGTAGCACTCCTATACAGCTTTGACTTCCACGATTGAGAACTAGTGCATCATGATTGAGAACTAGTGCATCAAACTTACCTGTTGAGCCCTAGCCCAAAATACATCTTCTAAAAAAGTGGCAAACCCTTCACTTATCCACTCTTCAGTCCAATCACGAGCACCAATGGCCAATCCAAACCAAGAATGAGCAATTTCATGGCACAGACGTGTTCCACAGAGATGGCTCCCTCCAGGCAATACACTCTGTGACAAGAAGATGATGTGTGGGCTGCACAAGGGAAATGAAGGACAAAATACATTATAAGTCTGTTGTAACATCCACTGCATGGCCATAATAATATGTAGACTTTATTAGACTTGTCAGCCTGTTATTACATATGCATGCTAGGTCATGACAAACAGTTTATAGTTCAGGTGTTTTTGGGAATCAGGTTGTACTTTATCATTGCTTGGCAGAGAATCAAACTAAAATTCTGCCAAGCAGTTGTTTTGTATTCAACCATCAAACAGCTATTACCTGTAAGAAATAACCTAAACCAAACTTCTGTATTTTTCAAATTACAAGACTGATTTATTTCAACAGAAGCATTTGTATGTAAGCCAGGATGATAGATGATCAGATGTGAATACAGGCAGCAGTTATTTATCGGTTAAATGATCAAAGCTGGATATAAAGAAAGAAACATTTTATAAAGAAAACAAATCACTATCTGAACAAGAGCCACAGAAAGTAAAGCGCTGTGCTTCTTACTACCTAAAACAAGCCAAAAAGATGCCATTTGAAAATAAGAGTTGATTTACGTAAACACAAAGGAAGGAGAACACCCTTTGCTACAAGAACAAGAGTGAAACAAAGGCTTAGACGCCCACTAAACATCTGCTTTTCACAATAGCAGAAAATAACACAATCTATATCTACTCTATTTTGTACTCAAGTAATAAAAGAAAAAGCTGGAGAAAGAAATACTTGCTATCCATATTTATTCTGCTATGGAAAAAGCTTATACTGAACTGCAAGTTTCTGCAGCTCCCAGTTCATGTTCTGCTGTAAGGCAATTTCTGTTATGCTTACAGATGTTATAAACCACCACCTGCAGACTATTCCTGCACTAACCCTAGGCATCTATAATCTAGATTTCAACTGTTTTCTGTTAGAAAGGAAATGAAGCATAATGGTGATACCTTCAAGGCTACCGATATTTAAGTTTAGCCTTTTGAGCGTGGATGGGCAGCACATGGTCTTAAGACGTTTCCAGGAGTCAGATAATATTTGTCAGCCTTCAGCAGTGCTTCCCCCCACCCACCCTACCCTTTCGCTGGAAATGTTAATACACCCCCAGTTTTCCTGCAACCAGTTCACAGTGTCCAGAACTGAGAACATAAAGCATGATACACACATAAACAAAAAATCGTACCCAATAACAATCTTGTAAAAATGATAATAAAATAATAATAATAATCAAACATCCTCATCCAGCACATTTCAATCATTTGGTATTGTAAAAAATAGTGTAATTAAAGCACCAATAGAGGAATCGAGTCACAGAGAACAAAGATAAAACTGCAGCTTTACAAATCTTTGCAAAAGATTTGCAAAAACTGCAAAAGCAATTCTGATTAAAAGAAGTAGAGGAAGAGAGAGGAAAAAGTAAGAGCACAGAAGATGTGGAACGTGATAAGCCTTCAGAAGCACAGAAGCACTACTGAGAAGAATTGCTGCAGCTCTAGGGGTATTACTTAGGCCAATTTTAAGTAAATGACCCCTAACTGTGGCATGCGTACAGTGCTACAAAGAAGAAATGGAGAAATGGACCAAGTAAATAACATTCCAGACATACTGCTGGCAGTGTTTTGGCTGTATAGCTAAGTAAAACACAAGTAACTTCATGCCTTAGAAGAAGGCTCATAGAATGATTTGCATTTTAAGTCTATTGCAGATATATACAACAGTACAGATTCTATTTTCTTCTATTTTCTTCTTTTTCCAACAAAAATAATGCAAGCACCATAATCAGAAAATCTCCTTTATGAAAGGATCAAAAAGCACTGAAGCAAGAAAAAGGAATGAGTTAAATTTTCGGAAAGGAATAAGAATGCAACTTCCTACAAGGCCTGACAAGGTAAGCCCACCTTTTAAATTAGTCTAGCTGACATCTTTTCAAGTCTGGCCCAAGTTTCTAAAGCAAGCCAGAACAGGTTAGCTGGATGCGGTAAGAAAAATGGGAAACCTCTCCAAGGTTTAACAAAAAAAGAAAAACCTCACCAGTCCTTCCCAGTAAGCTAAACAAGTTCCCTATGCTCTTACAGAAACATAGAAGCTAATGACTTGCTTTCAATGAGTAAACACTTGGTTACACTTTTAAAGCAAAAGATTATTATTCTGACCAGAATTACACCCTCATAACTTACATATTTGTATCATTTGACTGAAAGAAGGAACATCTCTTTCTCCTAGTTAAACTTCCATTAAGGGAAATCTTAAGGGAAACTCCATAACTACAGTATGAATAGGAACACGCTAATAAAAATCTTTGCACTCAAAGGACAAGAATTTCTTGGCATGGAAGATCAAACAGTCTTGATGTTCCAGTCATCCAAATGTACCCAGGTTCTTGTTCTCTGTAACAAATAAAATGTTTCCAATGACTCTTAACAGTAATCTGAACAACTTAAAAGTGAAATCTCTAACAGGAATTTTGCAAAACTATTTCTCCAAGCTTACACTTGATGCAGGTATCACTTGCATGGATGCTGCAGAGCTATTTTTGGTGACTCATGCACAGACAAGAAACACACAGCATAAACTGTAGCCAAATATATGTGCATGAATTGAATAGCTAAGAATATCAAATACGTATTTCTAGTTGGCTTGCTGCACTACTGCACTGCTTCTGAAGGAGAACTCTTTCTATTTAAATATACAGGGATTTGTGGATAGAGTTTTTTAGATACTCTTTGATGTTACAGAGATGAGACAACTATGCCTCTGGAGTAAAAAGTAGCGCCTAAAATCACTATTACAGATGGAAATTATATGATAAAAATTTTCATGTTTTGATAGTATTCCACATATTGTTTATCTTTTCCCATTTAGAAAAAAGAATCAGGTAGTAAATAGGTTAGCAAGTTATTGTATTTCCAGAAAATTCCTTCTTATACATATAAATGAGAGCAACAAAAACACCCCTAAAAATATTTTCATAGAACCACATTAAAACTGAGATATCCATTTCAAGGTTACTGGAATTTGAGTCAGTCAGACAATTAGATGACAGCTCTTTACAAATGCCTTGTGCAAGCTCTTATCAGTTGCCTTCAACTTACATTACTTCAGTGACAGAGAGAATAATAGTAGCACACTGTCTGTGGTATCTACATCATACATCAAATGTTAGTTTATATTTGAGAACACTTGTGTCATTTTAATGCAGACACAAGTACATGCCACATCCAATTACTCACCTCTGTAATCATCAGAATTCTAGAGCATACTACAATTTAGTCCCAAGAGAACTACAGAGATAAACAACCCTTTCTGATCTTCCATGTTCATAGTGTGCCAGAAACTCAAACATACACACAGATGCAGCTGTACAGACAAGAATTTTGTATTTAGAATACTCTGAGCAGTGTGCCAGATCCACTGGAAACTTTATAAAGATGTTTTCCCTGTAAGCATACTGGGAAATCATCAAATGAATAGATGTTACAGATTAATTTTCTAGAGCAGATGACTGACTGCCATAAATCGTGAAGTAATACAGTGTTAGAGCAGGCAACAGGGAAGAAAAGCAACCCTTGTGTGTCTGAAGGAGGATCATATTAGCCAATCTCAGAATACAGTAATTCAACATCCAATTTCTTCATATTACAGAGAAGAAAACATTAATCACTGACCTGAACACCTGAGCTGCAGCTGCTCCATGGATTGGCAGGCAATTACTTCAGTTTTGCTTGTTTTACTGTAGTCAATCAGATCAGTCAGAATATGAATAAAAAAGAGTGCCTCTCAGGCAAGACTCTTCATTGCTACTCAGGAGCAAGAAGGAAACCAAGCTACTGAAGTAGTTCTTTTAAAATTAGATCATGAGAACTAACCACATACAGAGTGATACCATCAACTTCCTTGAATCCACAGAATGGTCAATTTAAAAGCAGGATTCACATTTCATATTTCTATCTTCAGGGACTTCAAGTAGAAAAGGCAAAGCTGTACCTGCTAATCCAAGGTATTTATTTACCTGGCCAAAAAAGCACACATCTAGCAGACAATAAATACTCCTGGAAGTTTTCATTTTTGCACCAGTCTTGCAAAAAATGGCCCTTTTCTATTTTTTTCCAGCATTCTTCTGGAGCTCACCTCAATTGTCCTCTATAATCCAACCAAAATATACTATCTTAAAATAGTGGACAGAAAACATCACTTCTCAGAAAAGGGTTACAAGTATTTCCCTAGATATAACTCTTGAGATCAGAACACATAACAAAATGAACAGTTTGTTAATAATGCAAGTAATTTATTTTAAAAATGCTGTCTCATTATCTCTCTCACAGAGCATACTACTATGACAAAAATTTTAACCAAGATTTTACAAAATTCATGAGACAAAATAACTTATCTGTGGTTGATAATGTGCAGTCATATCATAGTAATAAATCCTACAGTAATAAATCCTACCAGCTTCAAGTGTTCTAACTCGGGAAATAACCGAGAAAGATTTTGCATGCAGGTTTCTCCTCTGATGCCTGAGATTCAAGTATTACCAGTGTACTAACCTGAGTACTAACTGCCTACTGTTGCACAAAAAGAAAAAAAATATGGAAAATTACAGGGTAAAAAGAATGAATTATAGACTCAAAACTTTCTCAGTGGCCATCAAGATTTCATTCTGATTTGTGTGAAACCTCCTACTGAAAAAAACCATGAAGAAATGGAAATGTCTTATAAAAATCAATTACATTATGCTTCCTAATAAGAAACAATTACAATACTGTAAAAAAGTCTTACAGATTAGAACATTTTGAGGACTGAAGCTTCCTATGCTGTATGAAGTAGTATCAATTTTTCATATTTAATTGATTTATTGGTAAAATCGAAAACAAGCTCCATTTCCAACACTCACATCTCAAATGCAGTTACTCCTCAAAAAGTACTGACACTGTTAACACAGAAAATAACTTGTGAATTAGTGCAACCAACTTACAAATCCCTTTTTAAGTAATCACAATACAACATTCCATTGTTTCATGCCTGATGTTTCCAAACAA